ACAGTACACACACATATATTATGTAAACATAGGGCTGGACGATATGGCCCAAATTGATATCACGATATATTTCTTAATTTCGGTCGATACGATATAATTCCGATATCGATATGAACACTATTTATCTGAAATAGAAATCTTTTGTAACATTATAAATGCCTTTATCATCACTTTTGATCAATTTTAAGCATCCTTGCTAAATAAAAGTATTAATTTCTATAATTTCTTTCCCAAAAAAATAATAAAAATTATACTGAATGGAATAGTGTATAATGTTACAAAAGCTTTTTATTTCAGATAAATGCTGATCTTTGGATCTTTCTATTCATCAAAGAATCCTGAAAAAAAAATGTACTCAACTGTTTTAAATATTGATAATCAGCAAATCAGCATATTAGAATGATTTCTGAAGGATCATGTGACACTGAAGACTGGAGTAATGATGCTGAAAATTTACCTATGTATGATCACAGGAATAAATTACATTTTAAAATCTATTCAAATAGAAAGCAATTTTAAATAGTAAAAATATTTCAACATTTTACTGTTTTTGCTGTACTTTGGATCAAATAAATGCAGCCTTGGTGAGCAGAAGAGAATTCTTAAAAAAAAAAAAAACCTTTAAAAATCTTACTGTTCAAAAACTTTTGACTGGTAGTGTAGGCTGATTATTCTTATAGATTGAAACAAATGTGCTTCAGCCAAAAAAAAGGGTATGAAAAGTGCTCCGAGTCGCTGCAGAAAACAAAAAAATTGAACAACAACAAAAACTGGAAATGTTGCTGGAGACGGGCTTATTTAAAATGAAAACTCATGCTCTGCTAGCAGGAGGCGCTTTTAGAGTGATAGAACTAGCGGTTTCTCCAGTAATGGCTGTAATCAAAGCAGCTCCGCTCATGAACGCTTCTTTATCAGATCAAATGAAAATGCCATCGAAACTTTTCTGAAGACAGTCGGTTCCCTTCACAGATACATTTATATAAAACACCCGCGACATTTTTTGATTTTGAAACGTGCAGTGCTCATGTTTATTCAACGAAGTCAAACGGCACAAATAAATCAATGTATGGGAAACTGGTAATTCATATCGAAATATCGGAAATGTGTTTAAAAATCATATCACCGTTATTGAAAAAAATTATATCGCGATACATATTGATATTGAATTATTGTCCAGCCCTAGCAGAGGGCATATCGATTTTACTAGGGTATTTTATATGAGGTCACTGTTGCTAGGCTATTAATGGTAACACTTTAGTAACAGGCTGCAGTAATTGGTTATTACACTGCACTATTCAAGGGCCAACAAAATACAACCAAATCAGCATAATACAAGTGGGATAGCTGTCCGTATCAAATCCCACCACAGTGCAAGCAAACTTGTGGGTCCCATAAAACACCAGTCATCAAAATGTCCTCTTTCTGATATCCACAGCTCAGCTGTGCCAACTGTGCAAATCACAAAGAGAGGGTAACGTGTTTATCTATGGCATATTTCTACCCAGCTTCCTCTGGTCTGTGACACTGGGCCACAGGTGTGGTTTGTCTACTCTTTTCCCATTAGCCTATCACAATAGAAGTGAGCACTCCACAAGATGCAGCTTGAGTGTGCATCCCAAAATTCTGATGGTACCACAACTTACACAAATATTTCAACAGCTCGCCTTCTCTCCGCACACCCCCCTCACCTCCTGTGCGTCACTACATACAAACTGTATATTGAATGTGCTGCATAAGGAAATGATTGGAATCATTGATTCTGAAGTGCAGGGCTATTTTCATGCCATAAACACGAATGTGTGTGTTAAACATTGTGTTAAGACTATGTTTTGCATAAGAAATAAAAATGAGAAAGTAAACCCTGTAATTAACCCATATTAAAGGTGTTTACAGCATTCAGGAAAGTAATGTATGCAGTGTTCATTTAAGCTATTGCTGACTAACTGTAAACAGTGAGCCATAGTCAATAGTTTCACAAAACTGAAGTCAAACCATTCTGTTTTTGCTTCTAATCTAATCTAATTTAGATTAAAAACTGCTCATGTTGCATGCATGTATGTATTGTTTGCATCATGATTAAAATGACACATTTAATTTATAATTTGTCTTAAATCTCATTTTTGAAATCAAAATCGTGAATCGAATCGTGAAATCAAAATCGTGAATTGAATAGAATCGTTACATCCCTAATAGTCAATACTAACTCACAGCCCAACAGTGCTTAAATAACTAATGGAATAATAGAAATAAACAAAACAACAAATGTCATTATCCAAACAAATGAAATAACAAATATTCAATATCAGTCTATGAACAAAACGCACAAAAAAATAGCAGAGGGTGCACATCCTTAGTTGTCCTAAACATGAGAATGCTTTATATTATATATTCTTTAAGCAAATGTATGTACTCACATAGTTTACTGGCTTGTAATGACAGATGTCTTTGCTGCTTAATGCATTTCAGACATGTTTTCCCAGCACATACTTTACATTTTATGGTTATATTGTTCTGACAGCAAGCAAAACTCCATTAAACTTCACTGTATGAGTGGAAGCACACATACAGGTTCCAAACAGACAGAACACAAAAGAGAACTGAAGCACAATAATTATGACAAAATATTGTTGCTGGACATTCAAAAACATTTCATTATGAAAACAGTAACTGTAAAGTTATCGTAACAAATATAATTGGATATAAATGTAAAAACTTACAAAATCTTACATTTACATGTTAATTATATATATATATATATATATATATACAGTATATACTGTGTGTGTGTATATATATATATATATATATATATTTGTTGTTGTTTGTTTTAAACTGTCCTTCTACTTCATAACTTTTCAGAATTTTGTAACATTTACATTTTAATCTTTTCTGCACATGTAGAGCACAGCCTGCATATGTACGTCCACTTAATTTGTTTTCTTAACCTTCAATTTGAACATTGTTTGATAACACTTAGCAGGATGTGGAATAAAATAGAGAAAATGTATAAATTATTAAAGTTACTGTTTACCGTTATTCAAAGAACAACATTATTTTCTGATATTGTATAACCGTAACTTAATGTATGCAATTTTGTTCATAATCACGTGACATAATTTGCTGCAAGATTAACCATATTTAAAGAACAAAAAGTTAGATTGTCTGCACCTGTGTGTGTGTGTGTGAGAGTATGTTTGTGTTTGGACTTCCTGCACCTGCAGTGTGGGCAGGCAGCTGCTGATAGCAGTAAGGAACGGGCAATATCTTTGCTGGAGTGGCTGAAGCTTAGTGTGGTGTCTCATTTTAGTGAGGTTTTATAATTCAAATGGAGTGTACCTGGTTGGTTGCGGAGCTCCAATGGCAGGTTCTGAGCTAGCAGGTTAGTGTCCATTGGCTGGGGACAGTCCTGTGTCATTGGCTCCTCTGGGGGTATATAAGCAGATGGAGGGGTTTCTTTTGAATAAAAAAAAAACAGACAAGAGATGTAGATAAATAAAAAGATAAATATTATCCCAAAGAATACACATAGCTCTCAATACATACAATATAAATATAGCACAGCAAGTCTTGTTTTTTAAATTCATATTTGAAAAAAACAAAATCAATATTGTGTTTCCACTATTTTCCAAAGGAGGAAAAAAGGGAGAGATTAATCTCAGCAGTCAGAAGTGAGAAAGATGTCCAATTTGCAGTCACTCCCTTAGAAGCAGTAGAAACACCATGGCAGTAGTGTTGTCGACTAGTTTTGTCTTTTTAAATTCCATGTTAATAACAACAAAGTAAAGTTGTATAAATACATGAATTAAAAAAATCTAACTCTAAAATACTTCTGCTAATACTGCTAAATTTACAATGCCAGAGTTTGTGTAAGGATTCCATAAAATGTACCTTTAATTAACAGTCTTCTACCATAAAAATGAATTTTCTCTTCTTAAAAGGTACAATTACAAGGTCCCTCGATAAGCAAACAATGTGTCTGCTCAAAAAATAAATAACGCATCTGATATTATTTGCAGTACCTTAAAGTATAATTTCAGTACCATATTATACATGAATATAGTAATCACACAAGTAATTTGGTACAACTGTACCAAAGCACAAGAGAATTATTTATATTTTACACATTTGAAATGTACTTTCCTTCAAATCAAACGCATGACATTGCACCATGCTCTATGGTTTTGTCTCAAAACATGAACACATTGATCACAGTTACATTGATCATAAGTGACAGTATAACTTCTATAATGTTGGCAAAGATTACTTTAAATAAATGCTGTTCTTTTGAACTTTCTATTGATTAATCCTGAAAGAAATGTATCAGTTTCCACAAAAATATTTCAACATTGATAATAAAAAGAAATGTTTCTTGAGCAGCAAATCAGAATATTAGAATGATCTCTGAAGGATCTAAAGACTGCGGTAATGGCTGCTGAAAATTCAGCTTTGCATCACAGGAATAAAATATACTTTAATATGAAGAAATACAATAAAAAAGTTGTAATTGTAAAAACTGTAAAAATATTTCACAACATTACCTTGTTGTATTTTTGATCAAATAAATGCAGCTTTGGTGTGTGAAAAAAACACTTCTTTAAAAAACACAAAAAAATCGTAGTAATTTTGATTGTTATGGTAAAGACACTGAAAAATGAATAGCATAAGTGCAGTTCACCTGGCATCTGAAAAGGGCTAGCTGGGTCCGAGCTGGATGGTGAATGGGGGAAGGTGGCTGTACTGCCTGTGCCACTGTTGGGCGAGCTGGGGTAGCTGTTGGTCGGGGAGTTCGGTGTGAAGGGAAGGGTGTTCGCTGGCTGCTGTTGAAAGGATTCAGGGAAGGTGGCGTTCTGAGGCATAGGGGGTTCTGTCTGATGGAGTGGGTTACGGAAGCGTGGCAGCATAGAGAGTTTAGCATTGAACTCGCTGTTTCGTGGCACCAGCACAGATGGCAGCACTGTAGGAAGAGAGGAGAAATATGCCAATCATAAGCAATCAGAATGGAGTAGGTGACACGAGAATCCATTAGACTTTGACTTTTGAATGAGATATGAGTTCATGTATGGCTATACACACCCTGTGACCACCAAAGCAGAGCATATCTGACTAACTACAGTACACCATAATCACTGATAATAAGAAAATCCTACAAGACGTATACTGAAAAAATATATATATAATCTAAGTAAGCAGCATATCTGCACTACTAGCCAAATTTTCTTTTCTTGTTTATGGACATGACATAGACACACAAGAACTAATGAAATCCTGAAATTTCCCGCCAAAACAAACCTGATAGCTCTTATTATTAATCACCATAGTGATTTGGAGCATTTTTTATGTACTGGCTAAATAACTAATTTCTAAAATGTCTAAAATAAAATGAAAAAATAAATTAAATTAAATAAATAAAAATACTCAATAAGCACCAAAAATATATCAATGAAACAATAAAATGACATTTCACCCAAGTATGACTATTCTGTCATCATTTACTCACCCTCATGTTTTTACAAGCCTCTATGGCTTTTCTTCTTCTGTGGAACAGAACAAAAAAAAAAGATATTTTGAAGAATGTTTCAACTGTTTATGTCCACAATGAAAGTCAGTGGGGTCCAAAACAACTGTCACTGTATGGACAGAAAACACTGAGGTATTTTTCAAAATATCTTCTATGATTCACAGAAGAAGAAAAAAAAAATATGCATGAATATTTGGAACAACATAAGGGTGAGTTAATGATAACAGAATATTCATGTTTTGGTATACTTCCCTTCAATTCCCTTTAATTATTTATGATAATCTTTAGTGTTGTTTTGTTGTCCACTATTTTCAGTATTTTTGTAAAATATACAAATTGCCTATCTCATCCAAGAGTCATATTCACAGTTGTCACACACGCCTGTACTCTCTAAAAATAGTAGAGCAATAAAATGTGGTAACTGGTGTTTCTGCCTATGTTGCCCACATACTTTTTTTTATTCATACAGGCTAATAGTTTTAGACATTTGCACTGAGATTGGGAACATGTATTTCAGTGATATCGCAATGAGTATTCTTAAACAATGGATGTGGTCAGCGTGCTGCCGTTCTGGAGAGGAGGGGAAAGACAGGTGTCCAGACATCCACAGGCCTGCCCTACACAAGTGTGTGCAAGGTGGGCAACCAGTCCTGCTATTGTCTGTGTGGGTGACAGGAGTTCCTGTAAAACTCTTCCTCTATACAGCCACATGTTTCATCCTCCACACAGGCACACACACATACACACAAAAGTGTACACAGACCCTGAACAAAGCCCTCATTCTGCCCCTGCCTGGAATTTCCTGTTCCTGCTCTCATAATGTGCGTGCACACACACACACACACACACACACACACACACACACACACATACTGTGGACAGCTGTTTCTGTGTTGTCAGCTGAGCTGACCCTCATCTTTTGCTTAGCCAACAAGAAGGGGGCTGTGCGTTTGAAGTCCATTCTTTCACCATAAGCAGAGGTAAAGAAAATGTTCTTGTTTCCCATTTAGACACACACAAACACAGAGCACAGAAGGTTTTTAGACTCCACCGTTTTCTCTCAAGTGGTATCAGGATCAAACAAACTAGAAAAGCACCTGGCAGAGGCCAGAGAGCGATATGGAAGGGGAAGGACAGAAAAAGAAAGAGACCATCTGCAGGAACCACGGGAAAGGAAAACTCAGGAACATGCATGGAAGAAGGTACATATGGGCTATATAATCCATATGGGATTCACTGACAGGGTGATTTTCCTCAATTGTTAGCTCTACCAGATGATAATATTCCATTTGTTATAAGAACGCCCAGTCATCTTGAGCTCTTTAAGTCGAGTGGATGCTGAAAGGCTGTTGTTTTTGTCGTTCGTCAGCTGGGTAAAAAAAATGCTCTGAAAATGATTCCAAAGGTATTGTTGCTCTGCGTTGTTATAGTTGAATGATTATTAAAACGTTATTGTTATATTGTTATCGTCTTTGATGTGAATGGGCCTTAAGACTTATGTCAGTAGTAATTGAGTGCTTTTAAAATATTAAAATATCTTAATATGTGTTCGGAAGATAAACGAACGTCTTACGGGTTTGGAACATCATGAAGGTGAGTAATTAATAGGGGTGCGCCGATCCGATATTCAGTCTTCTGTGGAACAGAACAAAAAAAAAAGATATTTTGAAGAATGTTTCAACTGTTTATGTCCACAATGAAAGTCAGTGGGGTCCAAAACAACTGTCACTGTATGGACAGAAAACACTGAGGTATTTTTCAAAATATCTTCTATGATTCACAGAAGAAGAAAAAAAAAATATGCATGAATATTTGGAACAACATAAGGGTGAGTTAATGATAACAGAATATTCATGTTTTGGTATACTTCCCTTCAATTCCCTTTAATTATTTATGATAATCTTTAGTGTTGTTTTGTTGTCCACTATTTTCAGTATTTTTGTAAAATATACAAATTGCCTATCTCATCCAAGAGTCATATTCACAGTTGTCACACACGCCTGTACTCTCTAAAAATAGTAGAGCAATAAAATGTGGTAACTGGTGTTTCTGCCTATGTTGCCCACATACTTTTTTTTATTCATACAGGCTAATAGTTTTAGACATTTGCACTGAGATTGGGAACATGTATTTCAGTGATATCGCAATGAGTATTCTTAAACAATGGATGTGGTCAGCGTGCTGCCGTTCTGGAGAGGAGGGGAAAGACAGGTGTCCAGACATCCACAGGCCTGCCCTACACAAGTGTGTGCAAGGTGGGCAACCAGTCCTGCTATTGTCTGTGTGGGTGACAGGAGTTCCTGTAAAACTCTTCCTCTATACAGCCACATGTTTCATCCTCCACACAGGCACACACACATACACACAAAAGTGTACACAGACCCTGAACAAAGCCCTCATTCTGCCCCTGCCTGGAATTTCCTGTTCCTGCTCTCATACTGTGCGTGCACACACACACACACACACACACACACACACACACACACACACACACACACACATACTGTGGACAGCTGTTTCTGTGTTGTCAGCTGAGCTGACCCTCATCTTTTGCTTAGCCAACAAGAAGGGGGCTGTGCGTTTGAAGTCCATTCTTTCACCATAAGCAGAGGTAAAGAAAATGTTCTTGTTTCCCATTTAGACACACACAAACACAGAGCACAGAAGGTTTTTAGACTCCACCGTTTTCTCTCAAGTGGTATCAGGATCAAACAAACTAGAAAAGCACCTGGCAGAGGCCAGAGAGTGATATGGAAGGGGAAGGACAGAAAAAGAAAGAGACCATCTGCAGGAACCACGGGAAAGGAAAACTCAGGAACATGCATGGAAGAAGGTACATATGGGCTATATAATCCATATGGGATTCACTGACAGGGTGATTTTCCTCAATTGTTAGCTCTACCAGATGATAATATTCCATTTGTTATAAGAACGCCCAGTCATCTTGAGCTCTTTAAGTCGAGTGGATGCTGAAAGGCTGTTGTTTTTGTCGTTCGTCAGCTGGGTAAAAAAAATGCTCTGAAAATGATTCCAAAGGTATTGTTGCTCTGCGTTGTTATAGTTGAATGATTATTAAAACGTTATTGTTATATTGTTATCGTCTTTGATGTGAATGGGCCTTAAGACTTATGTCAGTAGTAATTGAGTGCTTTTAAAATATTAAAATATCTTAATATGTGTTCGGAAGATAAACGAACGTCTTACGGGTTTGGAACATCATGAAGGTGAGTAATTAATAGGGGTGCGCCGATCCGATATTCAGTATCGGTATCACTTCGATACTGGCATTTTCTGCTAGTTCGGGGTATCAGTCAGACTAGACCGATCCAAATCCGATATAAATCAAATGTTGACTACTATAGTATATATTTATATATAAATATATTACTTGTTTTTCATTTTATGTATTTTACAACAATACAAAGAGCAATGTGTAGACCTTCCAGATTTAGTCTTACACTTATTTACTTTTATTTGTTACCCACTAAATAATGCATTTTTTTCACTAAAAGTTTAAGGTTTTATAAAATTATTGTGCACTCATGATTTTTCTAGACTAACTTTTGCTACTGAATTATCCACTAACCTAGTTTATAATAGTATTTTTGTCATAGATTATGATTATATATTTTTTTGTTTGTTATTTTTTCTTTATAATGAAGCTGTCTATATTTAGTAGATTGTGTGTAATATTCAAAAGAGTGATGATCGACCTACACATTTAGGTATAGAAATTCTACACTGATTAAAAAAAACTGCGCTGGTATCGGATCGATATCGGTATCGGCAGTAGAGGTCGACCGATAGTGGATTTTGCCGATACCGATAGCTAGGTTGGACCACACTGGCCGATACCGATTAATTAACCGATTGTTTTAAAATTAATACTGAACAAAAACTAAAATAGTGCTTTATTAACAAAACCAGTACTGAACCATACTACTACTAGTAGTAAAAATAATAATAATAATAGTAATAGTAAATGTTGAAATTAACACACTCTAACAAGGAACAATACTTTCATTACACAGCTTTCATTAATCTTAATGTTACAAATGGACTCTTATTTTAAAGTGTTACCATTAGGGCTGAACGATTAATTGCATTTGCGATAATATCGCGATATGAAAAAACACGATTTTTCAATCGCAGAGACTGCGATTACACTCGGTCACATGACACGCGAGAGTAAAGAGGTGTGTTCCACTTGAAGATCGATCTGTGTAGCCTTTAACATCAAAGTACAGCGAGAGAAAGCATACGGAGACGGCCGCGCTCTCTTATAGCTCTCGCAGTACTTTGATGACACACACCCATCGGTCTAAGCAGCGCTGCTTCAAGTCGAGCCCGGGCCATCAGCAGAAAAAGAAAAGAAATAAAACAGTAAACAGCCAAAGGACGTAGTTAGAATGGGAGATGGATCGGTTTGTGAAAGCGAAGAGAAAAGCCATAGATAAAGTCGCACAGACCCAGGCAGGTGCTGGCCATTTAAAAGCTAAATGCAGAAAATATAACAAGGCATATCTTGCTCTCGGCTTCACTCACCGTGTCTATACCGGACGCTACAGTTGTCGCGTCGCGCCGCAACAGCTCTACACTGGACGCGACAAAGCGACCGTTGCAAATCATTTTAACTTTGTGTCAGTACGTCATAAATAGAACAAGGCACCAGTTTAATGTTGGATTTTGTCGCGCCGCGCTGCATCCAGTGTACACAACGTCACTGATTATAACGGTTCTACTGTATTTTGCCGCTCGCGTCCGATGTAGACACTGTGTTTAATGTCGTTGGTGAGGAGGAAAGCCTGTGTGTGTCCTATGCCTTAGCAGACAGCATGAAACCCACAAAAAATAAATAAATAACAG